GGCCTTGACCTCTATGCCCCATTGTTGGCCCTCCTGAGGAACTGGCTGGCCCCTGTGTGAGGCAGGATGCTGGACTGGATGGACCACTGGTCTGATCCAGCAGGGCTCTTCTGATGTTCTAATGAAGGCCTCGACCTCTCTGCCCTGTTGTTGCTGGTTGGCCACTGTGTGAGACAGGATGATCGGCTAGATGGACCACTGGTCTGATCCAGCAGGGCTCTTCTAATGTTCTTGTGAAGGCCTTGACCTCTATGCCCCATTGTTGGCCCTCCTGAGGAACTGGCTGGCCCCTGTGTGAGGCAGGATGCTGGACTGGATGGACCACTGGTCTGATCCAGCAGGGCTCTCCTGATGTTCTAATGAAGGCCTCGGCCTCTCTGCCCTGTTGTTGGCCCTCCAGGGGAACTGTGAGATCACTGTGTGAGACAGGATGCTGGACTAGATGGACCTCTGTTCTGATCCAGCAGGGCTCTTCGGATGTTCTTATGAAGGCCTCGGTGTCTCTGCCTCATTGTTGGCCCTCCAGAGGAACTGTGAGATCACAGTGTGAGACAGGATGCTGGACTAGATGGACCCCTGGTCTGATCCAGCAGGGCTCTTCTGATGTCCTTTTCTCTATGAGAGCTGGCATTATCGGTCAGGATGCATCTTGTTTTCTGTGCTTTCTTCAACTTGCACGTTATTCTTTTCCAGGTTTTCTGAAAAGAAAGAGAGGCTAAAGCACCTTAAAAGCAAGCAGAATGAATTCCAAGCTCAGTAAGTCTTACTTCTTTCGTGCTGCCTTTTAGGTCAGTTTCAACAGAGGTAGATCAGTCACTTTCTTTAATGCTTGACATTTGCTAAATGCTTCCAGCTAAATCTCATCTGTTCCGCCAAGAGCAGCGCTTTGCCCCGACGCAAGCGGTGCTCTCTCTGCCAGGAGGGCTTTTTGCGCCTGGGGGAGGCCCCGCAGTTGTCTGATCAGGTCCACAGGACCCAACCTGCCGTTGTGGCTGCCAGCTAACGTACCATTCTTCTTTTCATTGCCTGCAGGTTGTTAAAAGCTATGGAAAGGAAGTGGATAACCAGCGACCAGTTGGTGAGTCTCTGTAAAGACTTCCTTGGGCCTATTCCGATTCAGCCGCAGGTTTGCGCGGGGGGACCCTTTTCTGGAAGCGGGAACCCGCGACACTCGCGTGGATGAGAGCCACATCATGGGCCTCGTCCAAGCGGTCCCCTTTATCTGACAAGTTCCAAGAACGGCATGGGACTCCTTGTGGGGAAGCCGCACCCAAGTTGCCGCAGAGAAGCATCCATGTCCCATGCCCTTATCAGTCACTACTTTTTTAAATTTTCACATTGTCATCTGCATTTTGAGCCTGCCCGGCACCTTTGGAATTCCGACACGGTGTGGTGAGTGGCGCCATAAAGTGGCCGCTGCAGGAGGTGGAGCCGTCCGCGAAACGGTGGCCGCAGCTCACCTTCAGTTACTCAGTTAAGTTCTCTGTGTTGTGGGGGCAGCTGCTGCTGAATCAGCGTTTTTTTTAAAAAAGTTCACAATCAGTCAAGCCACCAGTAGCCAATCAGAAGCCTTGCTGGGCACAAGCCCCACCCGGCCACAACCACTTACAGAAAACACTTGTCAGGTGACAGAAAAGGTGTCAGCCGATGCCATGGTGCCCTGTTTTGGGGACCCCTGGTTTAGGAAGAGGAGGAGGATTGTATTTATACCCTGCCCTTCACTCGGTGTCTCAGAGCTGCTTGCAATCCCTTCCCCTCCCCCTCCCCACCACAGACACCCTGTGAGGTAGGTGGGGCCGAGAGAGCTCTCTCGAGGACTGCCCTTGAGAGAACAGCTCTGAGAGAACTTGTGACTGACCCGAGGTCACACCAGCTGGCTGCATGCAGAGGAGTGGGGGAATCGAACCCGACTCTCCCAGATTAGAGTCCGCTGCTCTTAACCACTCGTCGAAACTGGCTCTCTACATCAAACTGGCTCTTTAGAGTGCTAGAATGTGCCAAATGAGGTCAGCCCCAACTGAATGCATTTTTTCCTTGAAGCTTTGCTTCAGCCGGACTTTAGAATATCAGGGGTCTGCAGTCTGACAATATTACGTTTCTTTGGTCTTTCTCCCATTAATCTGTCTGCCCTTATTTATTCCTCCCACCCCCTGGGAGTTCAGGGCCGCCCACGCGACTCTCCCCTGCCCTGATTTATTTTTTTATTATTTTTATCTGTACCCCACCTGTCTGTCCTCATCAGGGCCAACAAGGCAACAGACAGATTAAAAACATACATAATCAAGATAAAGGTAAAGGAGCTGCGGTGGCTCAAGTGGTTAAGACGCTGAACTGCAGGCTGTGGAAGGTCAGTAGTTCAGCAGTTCGAGACCCAAGTTGCCGCATGACGGAGTGAGCTCCCATCTCTAGTTCCAGCTCCTGCCAACCTAGCAGTTCGAAAGCAAGAAATTGCAAGTAGATAAATAGGTACTACTTTGGTGGGAAGGTAACAGCATTCCGTGCGCCTTGGTGTTTAGTCATGCCAGCCACATGACCACGGAAACATCTTCAGACAGCGCTGGCTCTTCGGCTTGGAAACGGAGATGGGTACCGCAACCCTAGAGTCGGACTCGACTGGCTTTCGAGCAAGGGAACCTTTACCGCTACCTAATCCAGATAAGCTCTTAAAAGCCATTAAAACAAATTTAAAAGCGCCTCATGAAAACCTTTAAAACCAGAGCTAAAATACACACACACGTGCCCCAAAAGCTCGCTGGGTTACCGTGGGCCAGTCACACTCTCTCAGCCTAACCTAACTCACAGTGCTGTTGTGAGGAAGAGGAGGAGAGGCTAACCCGCTTTGGGTCTCTGCTGTGGAGAAAGGTGGGGCTACAAATGAAGTCAATCAATCAATCAGTAAACATTAAATAGCAATTAAGTTGATCCCCGCGAGACCCTTGGGAGACAGTGCAGCGCAATGGTTAGAATGGTTAGACCTTGAGAGCCAGTTTGGTGTCGTGGTTAAGTGTGCAGCCTAATCTGGGAGAATCGGATTTGATTCTCCACTCCTCCACTTGCACTTGGCTGGATGACCTTGGGTCAGTCACAAGTTCTGACAAGGGAAGTTTCTGTCAGAGCTCTCTCAGCCCCACCTCCCTCACAGGGTGTCTGTTGTGGGGAGGGGAAGGGAAAGGAGTTTGTAAGCCGCTCTGAGACTCCCTTGAGTAGTGAAGGGCGGGGTATAAATCCAATCTCTTCTTCTAGAATGTTAAAATTGGCCCCTCGAGATCTGGATTCAGGTTCCCATTTGGTCCTGACAACTGTTCCGAGGCGTATTAGGGTTTATTGGGGTGGGGGTGGTTTTGACACACACGTAAGACAGCCGGGAATCTTAGGCGGTTTCCCTGTTTTCTTTCAGAGGTGGAAAATCATGTCTTGCAAGATTAGAATCGAGCAGCTGAAGCAAACCATCTGCAAAGAAAACGAGGAGACGGCCAGACGTAAGTAGCATCCTCGCGGCGGCAGGGTTACCCGGTCTTACTTGGGCCCCCCATGCTTGTGCACCTCAATCCGGCTAGCTTTCAGGTTATGTCCCGTAGAGCCCTGTGGGTTCCCAGAATTGTATCAGTCCATGGAACTAGAGACGGGAGCTCACTCCGTCATGTGGCACACTTGGGTCTCGAACTGCTGAACTACCGACCTTTCACAGCCTGCAGTTCAGCGTCTTAACCACTTGAGCCACCGCAGCTCCTATCTATACCTTGTGGCTAATAGCCACTGATCGACCTCTGCTCCATATGCTTATCTAATTCCCTACTGAAGCTGTCCATGCTTGTAGCCACCACCACTTCCTGTGGCAGTGAATTCCATGCGTTAATCACACTTTGGGTGAAGGAGGACTTCCTTTTATTGGTTCTAACCGGACCGCTCAGCCATTTCATGGAGTGCCCACGAGGTCTTGTACTGTGAGAAAGGGAGGAAAGTACCTCTTTCTCGACCTGCTCTATCCCAGGCATAATCTTGTCAACCTCGACCCCGGGATCTCCATTCCCGCTTGTAGCCGGCCAAGGGAGCTCTGGCCCCCGAGAGGCCACGCCCTCCCAGATCCCGTCAGTCTCTCAAGGTGCTCCGTCCCCATTGCCCTTCCCGCCCCGCAGATGCCGAGTGTCTCCTCCGGATCACCGACGAGAACCAGAAGCTGTACCGCCGGGCCCAGCGCCACCAGGAGAAGAAGGAGAAGATCCAGAGGCACAACCGCAGGCTGGGCGACCTGGTGGAGAGGAGGGTCGGCGACCTGAGGGGCCAGCATGAGCACCTGGGGCGCCTGCGGCGGTCGCACGTCCTCGAACTGACCTCCGTCATCTTCCCCATCGAGGAGGTGAAGCTCGGCGTCAGGTAGGGAAGGACGGGGGAGATGCGGCCGGTGTCGCTGGTGTGCCGGGGGGGGGGAGTGATTTGCTTTCTCCAGGGGTCATTTCATAGAAAAAGAGGTGCAGGAGCTCATTCGCATAACCTATTAGCATAACTTATTTGCATATGCCACACCCCCTGACATCACCGGAAGTGTGTCAGAAGGCGACACCCACCGCTCAGGCTCCACTGGAGTGTTTTGGATTGCTAGCTATTGGGGGGGGGGGGAACGTGCAGATATGTCCCTCACAGAGGAGGGAGAGCTTGTACCTGAATAAAACTTGGTCTTAAAGGTGCCACTGGACTGTTTTGGATTGCAATCGGGTGGGGGGGTCTCTGCAGCTTACCTGGCTGCTTTTTGCTCCTCGTGGCCCAACTGAGGGCTGCTGGGAGCAGGGGCGGGGCTTGTTGCATGTGCCCACCCCCTGGGCTCTTTACTGCCGGGGCACGCTCCTGTGCGCTCCTGCAGGAAATTACCCCCGGCTTTCTCAGTCTGGAAGAGATGGAGGAAAGAGACTGGGATTCAGAGGCGTACCTCTGTGCAGAGTTGGGGCATGAAACCAGTGTGTGTGGGGGTAAATCAGGACAGGGGGCCATGCCCCATTAACCCCACTTCACGCCCAAATCTTAAATGCATTTGCTTAGAAGCAAGAAGAGGAGCTGGTTTTTATACCCGCCTTTTCTCTACCCGAAGGAGACTCAAAGGCCAGTTTGGTGTAGTGGTTAAGTGCGCGGACTCTAATCTGGAAGAACCGGGTTTGATTCCCCGCTCCTCCACTCTCACCTGGCTGGATGACCTTGGGCAAGCCGTAGCTCTGATAAGAGCTGTCCTTGAAAAAGAGCAGTTTCTGTCAGAGCTCTCTCAGCCCCACCTACCTCACAGGATGTCTGTTGTGGGGAGGGGAAGGGAAAGGAGTTTGTAAACCGCTCTGAGACTCCCTTGGGTATTGAAGGGCAGGGTATAAATCCAATCTCTTCTCTTCTTTGGTGTAGTGGTTAGGAGCGTGGATTCTAATGTGGGAGAACGAGGTTTGATTCCCCACTCCTTCACATGCGGCCGCTGGTGTGACCTTGGGCAAGCCATAGTTCTGGCACAGCTGTTCTTGAAAAAGAGCATTTTCTGTCACTCAGCCCCACCTACCCCACCGGGTATCTGTTGTGGGAAGGGGGAGGGAAAGGAGATTGTAAGCTGCTCTGAGACTCCCTTGGGTACTGAAGGGCAGGGTATAAATCCAATCTCTTGTCTTCTTTGGTGTAGTGGGTTAGGAGCGGGGATTCTAATGTGGGAAAACCGGGTTTGATTCCCCACTCCTCCACATGCAGCTGCTGGTGTGACCTTGGGTCAGTCACAAGTTCTCTAAGAGCTGTTCTCTCAAGGGCAGTCCTCGAGAGAGCTCTCTCAGCCCCGCCTCCCTCACAGGCAAAGTTCCCTCTAAGCTGTGGAGTCTTGTGAGCAAAAATTCTGCTTTGTGAGCTACTGGCATTAAAGTTGTGAGCCAGCGATTTGGCTACTGCATAAATTAGTCTGCTCTGGAGCCATCCTTCCTGAACTAAGACAAAAATCTGTGAGTTGGATGCTAAAAAACTGTGAGCTAGCGCACACTAACTCACCTTAGAGGGAACACTGCTCACAGGGTGTCTGTTGTGGGGAGGGGGGGGAAGGGAACGGAGTTTGTGACCCGCTCTGAGATTCCTTCGGGTAGTGAAAAGCGGGGTATAAATCTAGTCTCTTCTTCTCTCCACAGCAGGCTGTTGTGAGGCGGGTGGGGCAGAGAGAGTTCGGAGAGAATTGCCACTGGCCCAAGGTCAGCTGGAGGAGGAGTGAGGAACCGAACCCGGCTCTCCAGATTAGAAGGAGAGTTTGTTTTTATACCCCGCTGTTCTCTACCTTTAAAGAGTCTCAAAGTGGCTTACTCTCTCCTTCCCTTCCTCTCCCCACAACAGGCACCTTGTGATTGAGGCAGGTGGGGCTGATAGAGTTTCGTGACTGGCCCAAGGCCACCCAGCCGGCTTCATGGGGAGGAGAAGTGGGGAATCGAACCCAGTTCTCCAGATCAGAAGAGGAGTTGTTGGTTTCCATGTCCCACTTTTCCTCTACCTTAAAGAGTCTCAAAGTGGCGTTCAATCGCCTTCCCTTCCTCTCCTCACACCCTGTGAGGCAGGTGGGGCTGAGAGAGTTCTGAGAGAACTGGGACTGGCCCAAGGTCACCCAGCAGGCTCCAGGTGGAGGAGGAGTGGGGGACTGAAACCCGGGTCTCTGGATGAGAGACCATCCCTCTTTTAACCCCTACATCACGCTTGGCTCTCTGGCAAGCCCCGTCGGGGTCGGAGACGAGGGTCCCACGATAACTTCCTTCGAGCTCTTCAAAGCTCTTCTCTGAATCAGTTTCCTGGCGGAGAAAAAAGACTCAGTCCAGCACAGATAAGCACTTCGCTCCGCTCGGCTTTGATCAACTGGTCCCCCTTTGCTTGTCAGGGCTCTTTCTGTAGCAGGTACTCCTTTGCATATTAAGCGACACCCCCCTAATGTAGCCAATCCTCCGAGAGCTTACAGTAGCCCCTGTAAGGAGAGCTCTGTAAGCTCTGGGAGGATTGGCTACATTAGGGGTGTGTGGCCTAATATGCAAATGAGTTCCTGCTACAAAAAGAGCCCTGGCAACCCCCCCTAATGTAGCCAATCCTCCGAGAGCTTACAGAGCTCTTCTCACAGGGGCTACTGTAAGCTCTTGGAGGATTGGCTACATTAGGGGTGTGTGGCCTAATATGCAGAGGAGTTCCTGCTACAAAAAGAGCCCTGCGTTGCTTTTGCACTAGAAGAAGCTGGGATTCTTGATCCAGGGCCACGGTCCTCATCTGTCACTAAATTACTACGTAGTAGTCATGATGGGCCTGCCCTGGATGCCCTAGGATAGCCAGATCTGTGAAGCTAAGCAGGGTCGGTCCTGGTTCATATTTGGATGGGAGACCGCCACCAAGGAAGTCCAGGGTTGCTACGCAGAGGCAGGCAAGAGCAAATCACCTCTGTCTGTATGACCTGACCTGAACGGCCCAGGCTAGCCAGATCGCAGAAGCTAAGCAGGGTCGGCCCCGGTTAGTATTTGGATGGGAGACCGCTAAGGAAGCCCAGGGTTGCTACGCAGCGGCAGGCAAGGGCAAACCACCTCTGATCATCTCTTGGTTTGGTGTCGTGAGGAGCACAGACTCTTAATCTGAGAGAACCGGGTCTGATTCCCCACTCCTCCACAGGCAGCTGCTGGTGTGACCTTGGGTCAGTCACAAGTTCTCCCAGAGCTGTTCTTTCAAGGGCAGTCCTCAAAGAGCTCTCTCAGCCCCCCCCCCCCCCCCCCAAGGTGTCCGTTTGTGGGGGGGGGAGGGAAAGGAGATGGTAAGCTGCTCTGAGACGCCGAGTGAAGGGCGGGTAAATCCAACCCCTTCCCCCCCCCCCCCCCCCCCCCGCCTTGAAAACCCCACAGGGTTGCAACAAGTTGGCTTGTGACTTAATAGCCGAAAAACCCCCAAAAGGGTCCCTAAGGGCTTAGTTCAGCAAAGGCTGAATTCAATGGGCACAGGTACGTAGGGAAAACGACAACGCAGCAGTACAGGGTGATCGCGGGACTAAGAAAGGAAGTAAAGCAATATCAGTTTAATCTGAGTTTCAGGGCTGTATCTGAAGAAGCGATCCATGACTCACGAAAGCCCCACCCCTGCCGCCGATTTTGCTAGTCTCGAAGGTACTGCTGGAGTCCTGCTCTTTTCTCAGTTTGAGAGTACCCTGATGTTACCTTCGCAGCCCCTCCTTGGAACGGACTCCGGCCTGCTGGAACGTCAGCAACGGGGGCTGATCAAGTCAGATGTCACTGTGTCCCCCTCCACCGTTTCGGGTCTGGCTTGCGAACTCCGGGCCCGGTCTTGTAACCCTCCTTCCCTGGCTGGATGGGTTTCCCTTCACCCTATGGCGACTTTGGGAGTGAAACCGCACCTGGATCCTTTTCCCCCCTTGTCACTGGTGAGCTGAGGGTTTTGTGTCTCAGACCTTTATGGGGAAAAACTGAAAAAAGAGGCAGGGGTGGGGTGGGGACTCAACCCAAGATATATCTGCGAACCAAGAGGGTCCAGCTGACACTATATAATAGTGTCATACTGAACCTAAAACTTAGAATCCAGAACCTGACAAAGGTTAGTCAAATGTAAGAAAGGGGGCCAATATTAAAAACTTAAAGAAGGAAATATATTAAAATGCGTGTATTTATTAATCACAAATTTAAAAATTCCATTAGGGCCCAATCACACGTTATGTATAAATAACAAACGATAAAACACAAGGGCTGATAAATCTGACCTGACGCGTTTCGGCCTACGTAGGCCTTCCTCAGAGGTCAATAGTGAGGAAGATATCGGCTATTATGGTTGTAGAGCTAATTGTCCTCAAGCAAAGACCGTAAGAAGGCGTTTCCTGGACCAGAACTTTATATCTGAGAACCACTTTGCATGTGATTGCACTTTTAGAGGCCTCATTTGTACTTTTTACTCTGTGCCTGGTGGTTTATCTTGAAACAACTTGCTTCTGGTCCTTATTGAAGTTATACTTTGTATTTACATGATTATACTATATTTTTATAATAGCCAATATGTTCCTCACTATTGACATCTGAGGAAGGCCTACGTAGGCCGAAACGCGTCAGGTCAGGTTTATAAGCCCTTGTGTTTTATCGTTTGTTATTTATACATACCGTGTGATTGGGCCCTTTTTCTGGCCCAACATATAAGCTAGTAGCATAACTAAAAACGTATAAGGAAACAACATTTGGTTATAAAAAACCTTTTACACGTGCATTTTGGATGTTGTTGTTGTTGTCCAGTCGCACAGTCGAGTCCGACTCTTCGCGACCCCATGGACCAGCTCCCGCCAGGCCCTCCTGTCTTCCGCCGTCCTCTGAAGTTGGCTCAACTTCATGTTCGTTGCATCGATGACACTGTCTGACCATCTCATCCTTTGCTGTCCCCGTCTTCTTTGACCTTCAATCTTTCCCAGCATCAGTGTCAGTGTAACATAGAGAATAGTGACCACTGAGGAAGGCCCGAAGGGGCCGAAACGCGTTTGGTCCCAAGTTAAAAAGTGTTTACCCGTCAAGTGTATTTGTATTTGAAAACCTTTTAAAAGTCTGAAATTTAGACTCTTTCTTTTAACCATATGTTTTAACATGTGTACACCTTAAAAAACTTGTATTTTTATAATATATAGTGTCAGACCTTTATGGCCCAACTCAGATCATCCACATATTCTTCCCGCTCGCCCCTAATAATCAGGCCGGCGGTCATCTTCACGCAGAAATCCCATCTCCACTTGGCTGGGTGATCTGCTCAGAGTATCGCCCCTCTCTCAGACCGAGAAAGAGAATGGTTCTTTTCCCCTGAGATTGGAGTCTCCTGGGTGTATCTCAAGACATCTTGTCCTGCCTGATCACAGCAAATTTGGGCTGGGGTGTCTAGGGCGGTGGTGAGCTCCCCCTCCTTGGCAGTCATGAAGCAGCGGCTGGACAAACCCTTCTCAGGGATGCTCTAGGCCAGTGATGGCGAACCTTTTAGAGACCGAGTGCCCAAACTGCGACCCAAAACCCACTTAATTATCACAAAGTGCCAACACGGCAATTTAACCTGAATGCTGAGGTTTTACTTTAGAAAAAACTACTCACACATTAACTTAAGATGATCCAAACAAAGTAAGGAAAGCAATCCCAAATGCTTTCGTTTACTTAAAATTATTTGGCAGAGAATTTGACACTTTAATGATGGTCTGGGCCTGGCTGGGGCGATGGCACGCGTGCCCACAGAGAGGGCTCTGAGTGCCACCTCTGGCACCCGTGCCATAGGTTTGCCACCACTGCTCTAGGCTGATCCTGCCTTGAGCATGGGGCTTGGACCAAATGGCTTGTAGAACCCCTCCCAAATCTGTGTGATTCTGTGATTCATCCACATACACACACCCCCCTGAGGATAGTTCAGCTAGGTAGCCGTGTTCGTTTCAAGTAGAAGAGGAAGATCAGAGTCCAGGCGACTTTATATCTCATAGACAATAATTACTCGCCCAAATGTCAAAAACAGTGTGGTCAGTTAGCAAATGTTATGCTTTGCTGGTGGGCCTGTCCCTTCATACAAGGCTTTTGGACTCAAATACTCACGAAAATAAAGGAGATGATCTCCATGTCGATACCTTTGAAACCAGAGGTGGTGGCATTGGAAAACTGGACAACACTACAAATGATGACATGACAAAAAAGAAGCCGTTTCGACTTTATTAACTATAGCAAAATCGATGGTCGCAATAAAATGGATTGATAGACAAGATCCCTCCGTTCCACAATGGTTAACAAGGATTTGGGATTATTTTATCATGACTAAATTGTCTTATAATCTTTATAAGAATTCAGCAACACAATATCATAACAAAGTGGTAGAGGTTTGGTTCCCAATTATAAGTTATTTAATGGGAAAAGTCATTTAATTCCCAATTATAAGTTATTTAACGGGGAAAGTTATTTCATTCCCAATTATAAGTTATTTAACGGGGAAAGTTATTTAATTCCCAATTATAAGTTATTTAACGGGAAAAGTTATTTAATTCCCAATTATAAGTTATTTAATGGGAAAAGTTATTTAATTCCCAATTATAAGTTATTTAATGGAAAAACTGTATTAACTATAGCAAAATCGAAGATTGCAATACAATGGACTGATAAGCTCCCTCCGTTCCACAATGGTTAACAAGGATTTGGGATTATTTTATCATGACTAAATTGTCTTATAATCTTTATAAGAATTCAGCAACACAATATCATAACAAAGTGGTAAAGGTTTGGGTCCCAATTATAAGTTATTTAATGGGAAAAGTTATTTCATTCCCAATTATAAGTTATTTAATGGAAAAAGTTATTTAATTCTCAATTATAAGTTATTTAATGGAAAAAGTTTATTAACTGTAGCAAAATCGAAGATTGCAATACAATAGACTGATAGACAAGCTCCCTCCATTCAACAATGGCTAACAAAGATTTGGGATTGTTTTATCATGACGAAATTGCCTTATAATCTTTATAAGAATTCAGCAACACAATAGCATAACAAAGCGGTAAAGGTTTGGTTCCCAATTATAAGTTATTTAATGGAAAAAGATATTCTTTCGAGAAACCCTCCCTATCATGATTTGATTTATTTTTGATTGTCTCTGTAAGTTTAAATGTAACTGTTGTGTTTATTGGTTTGTAAAATGTTTAAAAAATGTTAATAATAATAAAAAAACCCAGAGTCCAGTAGCACCTTAAAGGCCAGCTAAAATTTCCAGGGTATCCGCTTTTGAGAGAGTCAAAAGCCCTGAGGAAGTTATCTGACGAAAGGAGGCTAGCCAGGTGTGGGAGGGTGTGAGCGTTTCGGGAGGTCCGTCGCGCCTCCCCTTCCCGCATTCTGTCGCCTCAAATGACTCTCAGATCCCTCGCTGGCCTCGGCGCGCCTTGCACGACCCGGACGCTCTTTTCGTCCCGGGCCTGCCTCCCTCAGCCGCGCTTCCCCTCCGCAAGAGCCTCTCGCCTTTCCTGCAGGGACCCGGCGGACATCTCCTCTGAGAGCGACAGCGCCATGACCTCGAGCACCGTCAGCAAGCTGGCGGAAGCCCGAAGGACGACCTACCTGTCCGGGCGCTGGGTCTGCGACGATCACAACGGCGACACCAGCATCGGCATCACGGGGCCTTGGATCACCCTGCCCAGCAACGGCGACTACTCCGCCTACTACAACTGGGTCGAGGAGAAGAAAACCACGCAAGGGCCAGGTAAGAACGCCAGACGCGGCGCCCAGACGGCCGAGGGCTGCCGGTGAGATCGGCATTGTGCTCGTGACTCACCCTGTCCCGAGTCGTTGCTTTTGCAAGGAAGGGGAAGGTACCGGAATGCACGGCTCAGGTCCCCCCCCCCCTTTAATTTAAACAGCAAGTTTCTAGCTCTCATGATGGCAGAAATATGGTTAAGAGTACCACGGGGAAGCCCGACCAACTGTGCGGAAGGACCCTAAGAATAGAACAGAAGAGTAAAACAATTTACTAATGACTCACAACAATATAAGAAGAAGAAGGGATTGGATGTATACCCGGCCCTTCACTACCTAAAGGTGTCTCAGAGCGGCTTACAGACTCCTTTCCCTTCCCCTCCCCACAACAGGCACCCTGTGAGGTAGGTGGGGCTGAGAGAGCTCTTGACAGAAACGGCTCTTTTTCCAAGAACAGCTCTTGTCAGAACTACAGCTTGCCCAAGGTCATCCAGCAGGTGCAAGTGGAGGAGTGGGGAATCAAACCCGCTTCTCCCAGATTAGAGTCCACGCACTTAACCACGACACCAATCTCCAGTTTAAAAGAACCAGGCAGAAAAAGAAAAAAAGAACCAGGCAGGAGGTGATGGGAAAGACCTCTGCTTGGGACCCTGGAGAGCGGCTGCCAGTCCGAGTAGTCAACACTGTCCTTGATAGAGAAATGGCCTGGTTCCGGATCAGCAGTAGGCAGCTTCATGAGCTGAAAATACGACATATGTAATCCAACAGGTGGGTCTACCATATTACAATAATCCAACAGGTAAATCTACAATAAACCTAGTAGTAATTCTACATATGTAGTGTTTACAAGAATCCTACAGGTAAGTCAATAATCCAGCAGGTAGATTTTCAACAATCCAACAGGGTAAGTCTACAATATTTCAATAATGCAACCCATTGTATTGTTGTAATATTGTAGATTTACCTATTGGATTATTAAAAATTTACCTGTGGGATTATTGATACCATTGTGGATTGACCTGTTGGATGGATGTTTGTAAATACTACATATGTAATATTTTCAGCTAGTACTACCATTAAAAATTTACCTGTGGGATTATTGATACCATTGTGGATTGACCTGTTGGATGGATGTTTGTAAATACTACATATGTAATATTTTCAGCTAGTACTACCAGTTATATTGTCGGTAAAGGTAAAGGTTCCTTTGCTCGAAAGCCAGTCAAGTCCGACTCTAGGGTTGCGCTGCTCATCTCCGTTTCAAAGCCGAAGAACCAGCGCTGTCTGAAGACATTTCCGTGGTCATGTGGTCAGCATGACTAAACACCGAGGCGTACGGAACGCTGTTACCTTCCCACTGAAGCGGGACCTATTTATCTACTTGCAATTTCTTGCTTTCGAACGGCTAGGTTGGCAGGAGCTGGAACTAGAGACGGGAGCTCACTCCGTCATGCGGCAACCCGGGTCTCGAACTGCTCAACTACCGACCTTCCACAGCCTGCAGTTTAGCGTCTTAATCACTTGAGCCACCGCTTAACGATATTGTTGTTACTCATTAGTAAATTGTTTTATTCTTCCGTTCTATTCTTAGTGTCCTGAGAGCCAGTTTGGTGTAGTGGTTAAGTGCGTAGACTCTAATCTGGGAGAACCGGGTTTGATTCCCCACTCCTCCACTTGTACCTGGCTGGATGACCTTGGGCAAGCCGTAGCTCTGACAAGAGCTGTTCTTGAAAAAAGAGCCGTTTCTGTCAAGAGCTCTCTCAGCCCCACCTGCCTCACAGGGTGTCTGTTGTGGGGAGGGGAAGGGAAAGGAGTTTGTAAGCCGCTCTGAGACTCCTTCGGGTAATGAAGGTCGGAGTATAAATCCAATCTCTTCTTCTTCTTCTTTTACCTCACAGGGTGTCTGTTGTGGGGAGGGAAGGGAAAGGAGTTTGTAAGCTGCTCTGAGAGCGCTGGCTTAGTGGCCGAGCCTCCGCTTGGCATGCAGAAGGTCCCAGTTTCGATCCTGGCCTGGGTATCTCTGGTTTAGAAGGACCAGGCAGGAGGTGAGGTGAAAGACCTCTACCTGAGACCCTGGAGAGCAGCTGCCAGTCTGAGTAGGGAACGCTGCCCTTGATAGAACAGTGGCCTGATTCAGTAGAAGGCAGCTTCATGAGTTCTTCTGGTGTGATTTGGGGAGGGACAATGGCTCAGTGGAAGAGCCCCCGCTTGGCAGGCAGAAGGTCGCAGGTTCCATCCCCGGCATCTCCAGCTGAAAAGGATCAGGTAGGAGTCGTCGTGAAAGACCTCTGACCCGAGAACCTGGAGAGCCGCTGCCGGTCTGAGGGGACCATACTGACCTCGATGGACCAAAAGTTCTGATTTCAGTGGAGGGCAGCTCTGTGTGTCCGTTTGCGACACTCTGACCTGGTCTCAGAAGCTAAACAAGGTCAGCATTGGTCAGTACTCGGATAGGAAGCCTCCAAGGAAGTTTCGGGTTGCTACATAGAAGCAGGCAGTAACTGACCACCTCTGCTAGTCCCCTTGAAGCCGCCTGTGATTAATACGTTGTCGAAGGCTTTCACGACCGGAGTTCATTAGCTGTTGTAGGTTTCCCGGGCTGTGTGGCCGTGGTCTTGGCGTTGTAGGACCCGACGTTTCGCCAGTAGCTGTGACTGGCATCCTCAGAGGTATAAACACAGAAAGATGGAGTGCTCTCCGTGTCAAGGTGAGATGAAAATGGTAGGCAGGTAACATATCTACTCAGGAAGGTGGGGTAGGGCTGATAATTACTCAGCCCTACGCCACCTTCATGAGTAGATATAAATTACCTGCCTACCAGTCTTCTTTTCACATGGACACAGAGAGTCCTCTGTCTTTCTGTGTCATACCTCTGAGGATGCCAGTCACAGCTGCTGGCGAAACGTCAGGTCCTGCAATGCCCAGACCACAGCCACACAACCCGGGAAACCTACAACAGCTAACAATCTGTGATTGTAGAAGAAGAAGAGGAAGAGATTGGATTTATACCCCGCCCTTCACTTGGAGTCTCAGAGTGGCTTACAAACTCCTTTCCCCTTCCCCTCCCCACAACAGACACCCTGTGAGGTAAAAGAAGAAGAAGAGGAGATGGGATTTATACCCCTGCCCTTCACTACCCAAAGGTGTCTCAGAGCAGCTCACAAACTCCTTTCCCTTCCCCTCCCCACAACAGACACCCTGTGAGGCAGGTGGGGCTGAGAGAACTCTGATACAAACTGCTCTTTTTCAAGGACAGCTGTGCCAGAGCTTGTGACTGACCCAAGGTCACGCCAGCAGCTGCGAGTGGAGGAGTGGGGAATCAAACCCGGTTCTCCCAGATTAGAGTCCGCGCACTTAACCACGACACCAAACTGGCTCTGATTGTAGCCACCACCACGTGTGAATTGCACTTTGGGGAGGAAGAAGGACCCTCTTTCTTCTGCTCTAGCCCTTAGGGGCGGCTGTGGCCATTCTTCTTTTCCCCACTCTCTCCCCCCCCCCCCTTTTGAGCTCTCCGGTTCTCTCCTCCCCGTTTCAGACATGGAGCACAACAACCCGGCGTACACCATCAGCGCCGCTTTGTGCTACGCCACCCAGCTGGTCAACATCCTCTCCCACCTCCTCGACGTCAACCTTCCCAAGAAGCTCTACAACAGGCAAGTGGCTGAGGCGCCCCGGGGGAACCCAGACTGGCTGCAGGCGGTCCAGAGCTCGG